GTGCTGGAGTGAATATACTTTGGAGGCCAGGAGCCCCACCAGATGATTATGTCCCATGGGAAGGCCTGTGAAGTTCACCATTTACCAAAGCCGTACGCAGTGTTCTGCCATGAGGCACCAGAGTCACTAGCGCTTCAGTGGTGGCTCTCTTCTGTAACCCAGGGCTGAGGGTAGAGAAGATGTTATTACTAGGCTCTGTGATAGCCATGAGGATGATTGGACCAAGTAAAAATTAGGTGTAGGACTTAATTGCCAAAATCTGAATGAATGAAATTATAGTAATAAGTGGCAAGGTCAGAGTAGCAACCAGGAAGCCTGAACAAAGAAATGGAGATAGCTGCCCTGGCCGGTTTGGCTCAGCGGTTAGAGTGTCGGCCTGCGGTCCTGAGAGACCCGGGTTTGGTTCCCGCTAAGGGCGCGTACCTCGGTTGCAGTTTGTCCCCGGCCCTGGTTGGTTGTGCGGGTGGCAGCCACTCGATGTGTTCCTTTCTCACGTCGACGTTTCTCTCTCTCTCTCTGTTCCTCTCTCTCCCACTCTACCTGAACAAAAAATGTCCTCGGGTGAGGATAAAAAAAGAAAAAAAAGAAAAAAAAGAAAGAAATGGAGATAGCTAATCAGAGTGTCACTAGGGGCATAACAGATGGGAACCCAACAAGGGTATTCCATGACCAGAAGGCCAAGGGAAATTGTCTTAATTAAAATTCACAATCCAGTGCCAAGTTTCTGGACCCAAGGTAGTTTTTCAGAGCCACAATACATGTACCGAAGAAGTGGTCAAGTCCCCAATAGGAAGGAAATTGCAATAACACAGCAAATATACTCAGTAATGATTTCTCCACCGCTTCCCCCAAAATAATTTACTTGGGTAAATATTAGAGTGGCCAATATCTCAATATTCCCAGAACTAAGGGGTTTCTTGGAACATGGACCTTTTTTTTTTAATTGGGAAAGTCTTGAGTAAACTGGGATAAGTTGGACACCCTAATACTACCTGTTGGGGAAAGGAGACTAGTCAAACATTTCAGGGACTGTTGGACATAGTCTGAATTGATAGTAATACCCAGAACGTTGAAGCATGATGATGGTCCCTCTATTAGAATTGGGGCCTTTGGGGGCCAGGTAATAAGTGAAGTCCTGAGAAACATCTGGCTTGCGATGGGTCCTCTATTTCTTCAGATCCACCCAGCAATTATTTCCCCAGTCCCTGAAATCATAATTGAGGAAACCATACTATATAATTAGTATAAGTCCAACACTGAATCTGTGGGATATGGGTAATCAAACCTACACTAAAGCTTCTAAAACCATTCCCCAAACTCAGACAAGAAATAAATCTAAAATAATATTGCATCCTAAGGGACGTGGTAGAAATTAGTGCCACCCTAAAGAATCTAGAGGATGCAGGGCTATTGGTCCCTATCAGACTGTCATTTAATTCACCATGTGGCCCTTGAAAAAACCAGAAGGATCTTGGAAAGACAACAGCAGACTGTTGCCATCACAAACTCAATGAAGTAGTACTTCCAATTGCAGTGGCTGTCAGATGTGATGTTTTTGCTATAGGAGATCAACATGCCCTCAGGTACCTGATATAAAGCTATCGATATAGTGAATGCATCCTTTCTATTTCAGTGAGAAAAAGAGAACCATTAAGAGTTCCCATTCACATGGATAAGGCAATAATACACATTTATATTTTTGTTGTAGGGCTACGTTAACTCTCCTGTCCTCTGAAACCTACAGAAAGTTATTACATGGATTCACTACAATAATGCTGTTATGTTAATTGGGTCAGCTAAGCAAAAAATTGCTATCAGGCTTCTTGGTAAGATGCATGTGCTCCCTAGGTTGGGAGATCAACCCACAAAGATTCAGGTACTTCTCATTAATAAAATTTCTAGGTTTCCTGTGGACAGAGGCATGCCAGGATATCAACTCTATAATAAAAGACAAATGATCACATCTGCACTTTCCACAATAAAAAATGAAGCTTACCACGTGGTTAGTATCTTTGAGTTATGGAGGCAGCGTGATTCACTATTCCACACCTGGAAATATTGCTGTACCTGTGTGCTGGATGACATTATGGCTGCCAGCTTGGGTGGGACCTAGAGCAGAAAAGACCTCTGTTGTGGTCTAAACATGGTGTAAGAAGCTCTGCAAGACCTTGTGGTATTAGAGGTAATGGGTAAAATGACCTGCAGAGCTTGTGGCGAGCCCAACTGGGGGAATCACATGTGCATTCTTGAGGTTAAGGAGCATGAAATTTTTTTTTTTTTTAAATAACTCATGCCCTGATTGAGAGGGACCCACTGACCATGGGAATACCAATTGATTGATCATGTATCCACAAATGCCTATCAAGAGCTGGGGTCTGTCAGATCCATCACATCATAAAGTTGGTTGTGCCCAGCAGCAATTCATCATAATATGGAAATGGTATATCCTGCACGAGCAGTGTCAGAAAGCAAGACACATGAGCAGAGAGCCTAAATCTCCATCTTATTTACCAAACTTAGATTAATGTTGAACAATTGCCCCTCTTTCGGCTAATACCTATGATCGACTGAGCTTAGTTTCTGATCAGGTCAGCTGAGTCTGTGGGTGCAAATTGAAAATGCATGGCCAACTACCCTGTAACCTCACCAGAAGTGGCCTTAAAAGACAGTTGTGAGAGAAAATTTTCCCAATGGGTGGAGCTTTTGTCAGTGACTCCACTCAAATGTCCATCCACACCTAACCTGCTTGTCAGCAATTTTTCAATTTATCTTTTTTTCTAGGCTCCTGACCAGCCTGCCAGGTCATTCACCACTGCCCTTGAGTCTGTATTACGTAATCTCAGGCCATTTTTTCTTCCTCATAAATAGGATGGTCTTTATTTTTAGAAATCAGGCACCTTTTGTGAAATTTATTTTGTCTAATGAATAACAAACCAAATAACTATTTAACTTCCCCCGCACTGAGTCACCTACTTCATATCATCTACTCTTTCTGGGTAAAGCTTGCTCAGAAATTGTTACTCTACTAGTTAATATCTACTCTCCTTTTGCAATCATGGGTGGAATATTTTATTTATAGTATACTACTGTAATAATAAAACTCAAGTAGAATTATTAATAACTTTGACTAGTATAGGAATAGTGTCTATATCTTTCTTTTAGCTGAAAAATAAAATTTACAGCATTACTGTTTTTCTTTATCAGCATCCCAATGTATTATTGTTCTTTTATAGCTCTTTCATGCTTTGCTTTCCAAAGCATTTTCCTTTTTTTTTTTAATCCTCACCCAAGGACACTTTTTTGCATTTATCTTCAGACAGAGTGGGAGGGAAAGAGGGAGAGAGAGAGAGAAAGAGAAACATCGATGTGAGACAGACACATCAACTGTTTGCCACCCACACAACTCCAACCAGGGCCAGGGTCAAACCACAACCCAGGTACATGCCCTTATCAGGAACCGAACCCGGGACTCTCTGGTCCACAGGCCAACCATCTAACCGCTGAGCCAAACCGGCCAGGGCTCCAAAGTATTTTCTATCCTTTTTTGAAGAATTCTTTTAAAAAGAAAAGCACAGTATTGATTAGAAGATAAATAATATTTGATTAATTGGGAAATTATTTTGCAGTTTCCTTCACTCCACCTAACAACAAACAACAACAACAACAACAACAACAATAAATAGGCTGATAAAATTCTGTATTGCTTCTCTGGCCGGTTTGGCTCAGCGATTAGAGTGTCAGCCTGCAGTCCAGAGAGACTCCGGTTCGGTTCCCGCTAAGGGCATGTACTTTGGTTGCAGTTTGTCCCCGGCCCTGGTTGGGTCGTGCGGGTGGCAGCCACTCGATGTGTACCTTTCATATCGATGTTTTGCTCGCGCTCTCTCTCTTCTTCCGCTCTATTTGAACAAAAAATGAAAGAAAAAAAAAAGTCCTTGGGTGAGGATTAAAAAAAAATATCCTGGATTGCTGACAAATATATTTTGCTCTCCAATTATACATCAGAAATTAGCCCAACTTCCCATTCATTTTAAAAATGCAGCTCATGTTCTAATTAACTCTTAGTTACTGTTTCTGAACTACATTTTAGCAATTATTTTCTATTTGTGATTAATCTTAATTAATTAATCTTTTCATTAAATTCAAATGCTACTTTCAAAGAACTTTCTCTGCTTGCTATCTTCATGATTTATTTTATAGAATTATGTATATTTCATTACCACCATGTGAGTTTTTCCTTGTCATAGATAATAAAAAGCAACAAAATTATCAATGTTTAAAAAAAAATTTGAAAAGCTACTGAGCAATAGAATTAAAATAATAAAATAACAATTTAAGTGTTATATTTTTCAAGCAAACATTTTAAAACAATGGTTAATTATTTTGGAAATAGAGTTGGTTTTTAAAAATAAATATTTTAATATTGATTATATCAAGAAATTTGGTAGTACTGAAACACTTATAAATGTGCATAGCATATAGTATTATAGGCATATTTTAATTTTATTTAATGTATAAGAAAACTACTTTAAGGAAATAAAAAAGAAAACTACCATCTGGATTTTCTTACAGGTTTGTGGTGATTACTGCTATAAGAAAATGCAAAAATTATACAAGTACGTGGAAAGAATCTCATTATATGTTATCAACTGGAATGTTTGAAAACAGTGATTCCATACAAGAAAAATCTGTTTCCTTAATTTAAGTAATAATAATAATTTTAATCAGTGTAAAATCAGATATAAAAGTTCAAAAATTATTCATAATTCATAACATCCTGAACATACTCATCAAGACACCTAATACTTTGAGTCTTATAAAGGGCTAATTTCCTTTAAGTGTAGTTAGTTATTCATAGACAAGTAGGCAAAATGACAACAGAAAATTTTATATTCATCTGTAAAGAGTATACAGTGTTTTTTTATGTTCTACAAATAAAATATTTTATGTTCAATATCCAAATATTAAAAAATTCTGATGTTAGTCGAAGTATATTTTCATAACTAAACTCCTTCCAACATTGAAGATGGCTCAGGACTTTTTTATTTAAGGGTGAGACATAGGCGTTCTTGATAGATGATGACATTTATGTCTAATTTTCCCCATACAATTATCATGCATTTTAGACAAACTAAATTTAGTTGTACTTCCAGTTGTCCTGGAAGTATTTGATCTCTGGTTTTCCTCTCATTTTAGTATCAAGAATCTTCTTTAGATTGTGGTTAACATGTTTATAGTGTTTGGTCATCTTCTGGCTTTGACCAGTATCATTGATAGGTGGGCTTTCCGTTCCAGTGGGACCTATAATATTCTTGTGAGTAATAGAAGGAAGAAATGTTTGAGATGATATTTTCTTAAAGGATCCATTGGGTAAATCGTGAAAATACCTGGGGAAATGTTGCCTAATTTTATATTCGTAGATTAATTTTCTTGAATTTAAATCATCTAATTTGATAGAGTATAGATCATCTGTTGTTATTTTCTGGTTGATATCTGCAGAACTTTGAGGTGTATTCAACTTTTCAGAATTACACTGATGGATGCTAGGCAAAATTCCAAGTCTATTTTGTTTTAAAACTAATCCAGTACCAGGAATAAAAAGTCCTCGTTCTTCCTGTTTTGACAAATGAGTGCTCTCGGTGTTTGAAATAGAGGGATGTACACGTCCATTAACTGCTGTTTCTTTCCAGATTAAAGGATTATATATAACTTGTCCATCAACAGGGCATGAATTGCACTTGTGGAATAACCAACTGTCAATACATTTCCTATGAAACTTAAAAAAAAAGGTTATAAGTTAATTATCTTGTTTATAATGTATATTATCTATGTAAAATTTCCCATTTCATTATCGTTACCATTAAAACTAGAAAAAAATGAAAGGTATTCTAACTTAGCAAGTTTTAAGAAAATATTTTGAAGAGGTTCTTTTAAAAATGTAATTGGGCCCAGCCGGTGTGGCTCAGTGGTTGAGTGTTGACCCATGCACCAAGAGGTCATCGGTTCGATTCCTGGTCAGGGCACATGTTCATGTTGTGGACTTGATCCCTAGTTGGGGGCATGCAGGAGGCAGCCAATCGATGTTCTCTCTCATCAATGTTTCTCTCTCTCTCTCTCTCTCCCTTTCTCTCTATAGAAATCAATAAAGAAAAAACATTTTTTAAATGTAATTGGTTATGAGTTATATGTTTCTTGAAAATAAAACAGAAAACTATTATAAATGTGACATAGTTTATATTTTTATAAAATATAATATACCTATATTATTATGTCCATTTTCAACATTAAAATGGAAAGCCTACTATGTATATTATTTTTGTAATTTTGTTTAAAACTATTTATTCAAGCCATTAATTTTATTGTTTCCAATGAATGCAAAATTTTAAATAATAAAAAAGTCATAACCAATAAGAGTTGAAAATTGATCTGATAATGGTAAGATACAAAATTAATCACATTCTTGGGAAGAAAAAGACATTTCAAGTAAGGATGCCGCTACAGCTATAAATGTTTATTTATTGAAACAATTTTGTTTCACCAATTTGTACTTCTTACTCCCTTCACCTTTTTCATCTAGTCCTCCAACCTCCTCCTCTCTGGCAACTATTAGTCTGTTCTCTGTATCTGTGAGTGTGTTTCTATATTGGCAGTTACAAAATAGACACAGGGATATAAAGTACAGCATAGGGAATATAGGCAATAATACTGCGATGACTATGTATGTTGCCAGGAAGGTACTGGAAACATCGATGGGGAGCACTTTGTGAAGTATATGATTGTCTAACCACTATGCTGTACACCTGAACCTAATACAAGTAATACTGAATGTAAACTGTAACTGAACAATAAAATTAAAAAAAGAAACAAGTTTATTTCAGAAAAAAACTTGTTACCAACTACATACACAGTGATCAAGCAACATTAGACTTTGATTCCAGTGAGCTCATTTAAAATAATAATTAACTATGTCAAATCAAGCATATGTTTCATCCAAAGAAACCCGAAAATACATTAAAAAGTTAGTATTCTATAAGCTTTCCCTTTTTACAGATAACTAAAGTAGATAAAAGAGTCTTACTTTAAGGGTCATTTTATCTTTCCTAGGTAGTATATACAGATATAAGACCTAATCAATAGGAATCCATTCTTTGGGGGCAAAGCTGCCTTTTCAATAATCTCTACCACAGCTCCTCTACACAAACTGCTCAATTCAAACATCTGCACATAATACAACTAAAAAAATGAAAGGAGAGACTTTGTCACTTTATTTGTGAAAACTGGCCCTACAGGGAAAGCCAAAGTAAACTGATGTGACTTTTACCTTGTGACGACATGGGAGCAATCTTGCATACTGACCAAGGCAAAATGCCTTCAAACAAAGACGACACTGGTAGCCTGGACCAAGCAGCTTACTATTCTTTGTGATCACTAAGAGAGGCAGCGACTTTATCACATGTTTTGGTGTATAAACCTGGCTGAATGAGAATAAACAGAGACATGAGTGTTCATATCAGGAAGTAATCAATAGCACAGGTAATAACCTCCATATAAATAATGCAAATAAACACAACGTTTTCTTGAAATGAAGATAATAAATCTCATACATTATAAAGTTAAAAAAATCTATTGTATTGATCCTGAACAAGATGGAGCGAATTTTAACATCAACTTCATAAAAATGTAGTCACTTCAAATAAAAATATTAACCTGAAACTTTTGATTTGTGCTTTCTGATGTCAATGAAACCAGAACAAATTTTGATGAGAACCATATACTCAAATTATTTTAGTCTGAGCCAATATTTAGGCTTTTTTAAAGAAAAATACAACCCTATTTACTCTGCATCTGGTAGGAAGTAAGGTGCACAGTAAGCACATTAAATATTCCAGGCCACTATGATAAATTGGTAGGTCATTATCTATGAGGAAACTTATTTCCTTATAGGGCATATGCTTACTACATTAGTATTATTAGACCATGTTTATGTGACTCTAAAAATACCAAGTCCATTTTTGTACTCAAAGTCACAACCAATATAACTAAAATCATACAATGTAAATTAACTACTATTTGATGCCATTAGCAACTGAAAAACCATAAAGCAGACATTTAAAAACAAAGGCATGGAAGCATGGAACAGAGAAACAGATCTCAGAGAAGAGAGGGGTGAGGGAATGGGAAGAGATTAACCAAATAATTTATGTGCCTATATGCACAACCCATGGACACAGACAATAGTGTGGTGAAGGCCTGGGGTAAGGTGAGGGCTGGGCGGAGGGGGAATAGGGTGGGGAATGGGGGACATCTGTAATACTGTCAACAGTAAAAATAAACAAACATACATATAAATAAATAAAATAAAAACAAAAGCCTGGTTAAAAGGTTAGATGCATTTGTATTATTCAAAAGCCGTTTAGAACAAACTTCAAATATATTCTTCAGAAAAGCTTATACTTCTCATTACTCTACAGATACACTTTAATCATGCTACAGAAACTGTTTTTACCAAAGTCGTATAATTGTCAACTAAAAAAAGTTAACCTATATATTTTTATTATTTTAGATTGTTAACCACTCTTTTTAATCTTGAAACTCCTTTTATTACACTTTCTCAGTCTAGAACGTCTGTCTACATCTAATGTTCTCTGGCCTCCCCCCACAAATCTCCTAAACCTTTAGTTATATAATTTATCATTCTAATAGGTCGAAGTGTGATACCTAGCCAGGGCTAAGGGAATAGGAGATAGAGTGCCTTTGGATAGGCTTATTTTATACTTATAGGCATAAAATGCTCCACAAGAGCTATGGTCTTCAAAGCGTGTGAAGTACCCACAGGGCTAAATATTCACTGAGTTGAATACATATATTCTCACACACACACACACACACACACATATTCAACCCAGTAAATATACACACACACACACACACACACACACACACACACACACACACAAGTACAAATTTTGTTTGGTTAATTCACTGAAATTATATTTTAAAAATTATTTCGATTTTATCCTATCCTTTAAAAATGATCTTTTGTATATATTTAACAATGTACTTAATATGTTAAAAAACAACAACTTTAATCTTTAATTTTTTTAATTGATAAGGAGTATGACAAAAGGTCTGGAGGTCTGGCCATTCGTAAATAGTCCGATCTGTGTTCTGAAATACGATCTGTGCGCTCAGCACTCTTCCTCAAGGAGGATGGAGTAGAGGGGGAATGAGGCAGAAGGGACTTCCTTGTCCTTAGAGGCCAATTACTTCAAAGAAAAATTTCAAATCCCCCTGTATTTTTAAAATATAATTTATCAGTTTTAACTTTATATTTATTAAGATGATCATTTAATCACTGAGGAAACTGCTGTTTCCCTAATACCTAGTACAATCTCTGGCAGAATTAATAATAATCAGACATTTTAAAAATATTTACTATGTGTATTAACTCATTTCATACTCACAAAACTCCTGTGAGGCTGGTTTTATAATTATCCTCATTTTAAAGATGAAGAAAATGTGGCAGAGAGAAGTGATGTCATACTGTTATAATAATCTGGTTATTATTGAACAGGAAAGGAACAAAGGGAAGACCAGATAACATAGGCATGCCATTTATACAGCTTTGCCAAGAAGCTGCAATTAACACTCTTCAGGTCTACTCCTCACAGATCCAAGATTGAAGATTGCTGGGGGAAGGGTCTGGGAGAAGTGGGAGGCCTCTACCTGTCAGTCACACCTGGGAACAAGTGGCATAGCCACTGCAAGAATGCAAAATCTGACATACGTAGTCTGAACAAGGGAAGTTCCCTCTCTTGTCTCTTGGTTCTCTTGGCCCTCTTGGGACTCCTGTTGCAGGGGGACCGCTCCCCTACATTTGCCCACATGGCCCACGGCCATGTAGACTCCACACAAGGGACTAATGGACTGCAGCCAGCCTGATGCTGAACTGGACCCGGCTTCAACATGGGAAGGAAACTCTGGACCCTGGCCCTACTTTTGGCTTTGCTAAAGCTCCAGCTACCCCTCTTTCAGGTCTGGCTTAAGAAAACTGGGACTTTACAACCCAAGAAATATAACTCCACACAAATAAAGTCTTTTAGCAAATCTGATTCTCCAGTGGGAGTCTCTGAAAATGCTTATTCTAGTGGTACCCCAAGAGTGGCAGGGAAATTTGACCCACTCATTCCTCTGCAACAGTTGTACCAGGATTAGATTTAAGCAATCTGACTCCAGAGCCTTGCTCTTCACTTGCATACCATAATGTCGCCTAGTATATAAAAAGTGCTCAATGCACGTTTATTGAATAAAGGAATGAATAAAACTTATCAAACTTAAAAATTATATAAAACATCACAAGTCCTACAAGAAATGTAAATTTCACTGAGAATCTCACCTTTGCTTTTCTTGAAAATGTGGTTTTTCTTCTATGTCATTGTTACTATCTATATATTTTACAATTTCATCTGATCTTTTTTCTAGTGATTTCCATCTTTGATTTCTCTTCTGTAATAGGTAAAAGGTAAATGTTACTTTGCAAATCATAAAAATTTTTATTTTGTGGATTAAAATTAATAGGCTGCATATCATTAACAATGTGATAAGTCAATTTGTAATGTTGAGATCTTTTTAAAAATGAATTTTAAAATTTGATAACTGCCCTTATAATTTATGTATAATGTTATCACATTTGTTATTGTGTTGGATTTTATAAATTACAAATATAAGAACTGATTGCTTTGTATATCCCTATAAAAAAGAGTTCTCCAAAAAGTATGGTCTTTAGGTTCTGTTAAAACTCATTTACCTTTACTCCAGAATTATCTATTCTTATTATTCTTTGATTTATTTTACTTAAATTTACAGTCGGACAAACACTATAAAAATTCAAGATGGATACTATACCTCACGAAATGTAAATGAATGAGACAGATGGCAGCAGCTATCAAAACATTCCTGGCATAAGTGATATTCTATGCACTGGGTACACCTAAAAATGCAAAACATAAAAGAAAAAAATCCAATTATTTTGATAGTTTTGGATGAAAAGTTCTGGCCAAAATTTCCTGGGAACTATGCAGATATGATACTCTGACCGGGGACCGAACCCGCAACCTGGGCATGCGCCCTGACCTGGAATTGAACCAGTGACCTTTTGGTGCATGGAACAATGCTCAACCAACTGAGCCATGCAGGCCAGGGTTATGCAGATATGATAAAGCCAATCTTAAATGTCTTACCTTTTATTAGTTTCCTATTGCTACTGTAAAAAGCTACACAAATTTAGCAGCTTAAACAGTACCTATTTATTATTTTATTCTTTTAAAGATAGAAGTCTGACATGGTTCTTAATGGACCAAAATCAATGGGTTCACATCACTGCATTTTTCGGATGTTCTAGAGAAATGTCTTTCCTTGTCCTTTCCATCTTCTAGAGGATGTGCATCTTCCTTAGTTTACCTTGGGCCCTTTCCTCCATCTATAAAGCAAGCAATGCAGCATCTCTCTGTGTCTTTCTTCCATAGTCATATTTCCCTCTGACTCTTGTCTGTTTTCCTCTTTCACTTTTAATTGGGCCCAGGCAATCCAGGGTAATCTCTTTATTCCAAGGTCAGCTGACTAGCAACCGTATTTCCATTTGCAGTCTTAATTGCCCTATAACGTAAGCTAACATACAGGTTCGAGGCATAAGAATGTAGACATATTTTGCCTACCACACATCCCTTCCATGTCTCCCTGGAGAACCTTAGCTTTCATTATCTCTTTCTCTAAATTGCCACAAAATCTACAGCTTTTTAGATATTCTCATTCGATTGTCCAGTGTTTTCCAGTTGTTTCATAAGTACTAGAGTTATACTTAGCAGAATACTTCTTGAAAACAAGAATTGTATTATATTCTCTCTCCTTACAAACTGGTAAAAGGCATATATATATATAAAGTTTTCAATAAAATCTACTGACAAATTTATTAGTATTATTTTTAAGTTTTATTTATTAATTTATTGGTAATTTTACCCGAGGATATTTTTTTCATTGACTTCTAGATAAAATGGAAGGAGGGAGGGAGGGAGAGAGAGAGAGAGAAACATCAATGTGAGAGAGACACATCGATTGGATGACTCCCACACCACCTCAACCGGAGCCGGGGAATGAACCTGCAACCCAGGTATGTGCCTTTGACTGGGAATTGAATCCGAGACCCTTTGGTCCACAGGCAGACACTCTAACTGCTGAGCCAAACTGGCCAGGAAGCTATTGACACATTTAAAATGAACTTCTTTCCTCAAAAGCTCAATCTCAAATTTATAGCATTTATAAAAATTTTGCCACAGCAGAGAATTTTAATTTACTTGTAGCAGTATTCACCAATAAAGTAATATTCTGAGCAAATAAACTTATTTTCTTAAGTTACCTAAGATTTAGAAGACTATTTCTATAAGAAACCTGGGGAAATATGTCCTTCAGACATATTAGAAGCAGCAAGTACTAATTATTCATCATCACTATTTATACATACAGGGAAGCATATTAATAATTTAAATTAATCAGAGCAATGGTGCAATTAATTCAATATATCAAATTATGCTGGGGTAGCAAAAGTTAGGCATTTCTATATTATCATACATCTATGATATTTTGGAATTACACTTCTTTAAAGATAAGTATCTATATTATATAACTGTTAGAAGGAACTGAAAAGTTTTCCAGTTTATCTCGTCTCCTATTCAATCCATTCCAAAAACTACTAGTAATAATTTTTTAGGCCAATGACTGAAATGTTAATATTTGAGGCAATAGAAGGTGGTGAATTAAAAATGTTAGAAATTCGTCCTGGCCGGTTTGGCTCAGCAGTTAAAGCGTCGGCCTGCGGTCCTGAGAGACCCGGGTTCGGTTCCCGCTAAGGGCGCGTACCTCGGTTGCAGTTTGTCCCCGGCCCTGGTTGGTCGTGTGGGTGGCAGCCACTTGATGTGTCCCTTTCACATCGATGTTTCTTTCTCCCTCTCCTCCCTCCCTCCCACTGTATCTGAACAAAATATCAAAAAAATGTCCTTGGGTGAGGATAAAAAAAAGTTAGAAATTCATTCATTAATTTGTGAAAGAGGATTGATATAGAGTTTGTGAGCCAAACCCATGGAGAAATTATTCTCAAAGGAGAGTGTAAAGCAGCAGACAAGGAGCAGAACAGTGGAGATATCTGTATTGCAGGGTAGTAGGAAGAACCATCTATGAGAACAGAAAGAGCAGTCAGAAAGCTCAGAGTGACAGAGGAGTACAGAATCATTAACAAAAGACTCAAAAGCAAAATTTAAAAGTATCTACCAAAAACCACCCATTAACCATTTGAGGAATACATGACCAGAAGGACTGAGACTTTTACATTGTGGCTTTTCTATGTCCTTATCCCTTACAGTTATTCCTCTCAACTCCTTTCCACCTGTAACCTTAGCTTCTTATTGTTCTTATCCACTCTTCTTGAAATAATTTAAGTCACCCAAATAAAGGCTGCTAATACCATATATCAAGTCTTTCATTTTTCTAGGACCCTTTCTAACCAACATTCCCCAAACTAGCTGAACACTTCCTGCTAAACCTTTATAAACATTCTGCCCTTCTTCCTCAAGTGAAAATGCTCCTTTGGAGCCTTCTCAGGCCAGCTGTTTTCCAATAAGGACTTAAAAAAAATTTTTTTTTTCTTTATTGATTTTAGAGAGAGAGGAAGGGAGAGGGAGAGAATGACAGAAACATCGATGAGAGAGAACATCGATTGGCTGCCTCCTGCATGCCCCCCAATGGGGATTGGCCCCACAACCTGGGTATGTGCCCTGATCAGGAATCAAACCAGTGACCTCTTGGTGCGTGTGTCGACGCTCAACCACTGAGTCACACTGGTTGGGCAGGACTTTTTTTTTAATATAGATTTTAAAAAGAGGGGAAGAGAAGGAGAGAAAGAAACATCCATGTGAGAGCAGAACATTGATCGGCTGCCTCCTGCACAGTCCCCCACCAGGTATCAAGCCTGCAACCCTGGTATATGCCCAACCCGGAATGGAACCAGTAACCTTTGATGCACAGGACAGTGCTCGACCAAGCCACACCAGCCAGGGCAAGGACGTTTGCTAATGGAGCTCTAGCTAATTTTCTTCTATGTGACACATAGAGAAAACAAATGACTAAAAGAGTTCAAAGGAGAAAAGTTGAGGGGGATAAAAACATTTTTATAATTTTATCAGGAGGTTTAAAAATATATTAATTGGACTGATAATGTAATTTCAGGAAGACTAAAAAAATAAGCTTATTTTTAATAAACTGATGCATTTTAGCAAAGAATTTAAGGTTGAAATAAAATATTTTCTTCTTAATAGACAGGTAACCCAAAATTTTAATTAAGAAAGCACAATTTCCCAAGCAGATCAATTAACTGATGTTTTATGTGGCAACTGTGAGAAAGTTTGGGGATTACTAATGAAAGTATTAGAAACTTTTTTTTTATTAGTAAGTATCTTGTTGTTGAGGTATAAGAGGCAAAGAAAACAAACAAACAAACTAATGTACTTGCTGCAAATTTGAAATAGGGGAACTTGATTAACTATTCAATTTAGTCATTATTCCTCTGGCTCAATCCTAGGAGTGTTTGGCAATGATCTCAATGGTGGTTCAAGGGAAGTTAAAGAGGGTGAGAAGCCCATCTAGCAGGGCTCTGAGCATGGAACTTCATTTAGGACAAATTAACAAAGCCTGTGTCCAGAATTTCCAAGACAGAATACTACTTCAGGTTCTCAATCTAGACTGGAGTGAAAGCCAATACTCGTGTCAGTGAACAAAATAAAACAACGGAAGTTCTGAGGTACTGGATTGACATGCATAGGACTCACCAGTCTGGAAATCCTAAAGCAACACCCACCACTTAAGGAAAACACACTGTATAAAGGAGGAAAGGAAGAAGGCTGGCTAGATGACCGGTACTCTAATGCACAAAGTTTCCTCAAGTAAAAAAGAAAATACTTGTTCACAATTTTACTGATGACACTTACTTATAACACTTTCCCTCAATTGGAAATTGTTTACAGTTATTACAGGGAATTCCAAGTTGTCTGTCCAGTCGCTCTTTCTCAGCTATAGTCACAAGTTTGTTAGAGTTTTTGAATTCCTCCAAAATAAGTTTTAATGGTGCAAAGTCTTCCCTACATAGAGGACATTTCAGCATAGGAGTGTCTGATATTGTATCCTGATAATTAGCTAAGATCTTCATGCATTTTATATGAACATTATTGCCACAGCCAAATCTGTTAGAAATAGAATTAGATTACAGTTTACATATAGAAAGTTATATATTTATATAAATAAAATTTTCTCTGCTACCATCTTTGTTTCCTATAAAAATATATTCTGATTTTCCATACATACATAAACACATACCCATCTTCTCTTATCTGTCTAATCTATCATCTTTTATTTAATTTAGTACATCAGAATTCCAAGCAAACTCCCCACTTTCCAATGAAATGGTGGTAAAATATTTTGCAGTATTAAAATATTTTTTATTTTAAAAATGAGAATGTATATAGTCTTAACAACAACTAAAGGGAACATTATAACAGTAATTATTACTTTTGAAATAAAAAGCATCACTGAGAGCAGGGGCATCATGTTATTTTTCTAGAAATCACACAATATGTGGTAGTATCCAATAAATACCTTCTTAGAGAAATAATATTTTTGGAAATAGTTAATACATTTCAAATATACAAAAGCAGTCAGATGAAAAACTACAATGTGGATACAAAGTTTGTCAAATGAGCAGAAGGAAAAAAAAATAAAAAAGTTCAATAGCAAATGGTTGCCCAAATTTTCCAAGTCCAACTGCCTTGAAGAATAGTTGATAATGACACTCTCAATAAACATTTGTGTGAAATTATGAATTCTTTAGGTTTAAAAATAGAGCTCTGAAACACCGAAAAGAATTTTTATTATTTAAAATAAAATAATCTTTACCTTTAAAAAACGCTTTGTAACTACTCTAAACCATGGCACTTATTCATGTGTTAAAAAATATAAAATTACTCTAATAAACTTAAAGTAAAAAGGGGAATATAGAACTAGATTTTAATTTTCACCCTTTAAAATGTAGCCCAGAAATATTTCAATAAGAACAGAACCTCTCACAACATATATGTTAGGAAACAAAAGAGAACCAATGAAACAATTGTTTCATAATGAATCAATTACAAACATATTAAATTAGAATGTTTTCATAAGGTTTTGATGTAAAAAAAAATCACCTGCAAAAGGTGACAGGAAGCTTTTTCTCTAAAAGTACTTCTTGACAGATAGAGCAAATATCATCTGAACAAATTGCCTTCTGTTCAATGTATCCGTCTTCAATATGTGAATTTTTGTCATTTGTTGGTTTTTGGGGAATTTGAACTTGATCTATTCCCCGAAGCAAGTCATTAATTTCTCCTTCCACGAGACCTAACTGCAAGGCATCTAGTGAAACATCCCAAAGTATTAAAATTTAGTAGCAAATTAGAGATAAAAAAAAAAATGTAACAACTTGTGCTGAAAGCATTTTCTTTCAAATGTCAGAAAGACAGTTTTGGTTAAATTATTACACTCACCTTTACCACTTTTTAATATTCCTTTCAGAGCCAAATGGTCAGAGAAGAGTCACTTATAAAAAGAATGGAAGTTATCTTACTAAAAGATTCAGTGCAACTAGTGCATTAAAAGGGTTTTTGATTAATTTTGTGATAGTGTTCATCCTTGGATTGTTGTTGTAATTATGTCTTACATTTTGATCTGTTCACTTTTCCATAAACAAGTACTTTATCAACATTCAGGAATATTTAAAGAAATGGGGCATAGGTACATAAAGGGGACATAGGGGTATCTGAGTAATATCAATGTAATTAGTATTTGTTAAATGAATAAATAACAGAACAAGACTCAGTGAATTGTGCCTGTGTTTTATATCCCTAGAAGAGTGTTTTGGTAACCACATCTTTCCCAGTTTTGGAAACTAACTATCCCTCAGGACAATCTATTAGAAGCTATATTGACTGTACCCGTGGGATGTGTATTCTTTGAATTCTGAAACTTCTCCATCCTGCTGGGCTGATAGGAGATTACATTCTAAGTGCATATAGTTTTGATCAGGGCATCCTAGATTCCTTTATTCCCTGGGCCATCCCTATGCTTCTTTCCGTTTCCCTCTCCTAAACATGCTGTAATTTAAATGCCAACTGCCATTAGTCCTCTTGCGTTCTGATATTCATTTTATACATTCTTTAATACATACAGATTAAAATTATTTACAAGATCATGAAAAAGCTCTATTTCCTGAAAGCTCAAACACGGAAAACACCAGTTACATTTCAATCCAGCAATCTCTGTTCCTTGTGTGAGGTGGGTGGCAGGTGGAATGAAGGAGGTATGATACTTTAATTAACCATCACTTTGGAGGATGAGGGCTATATGTCATAGAGACACAGCAATATCTGCTCCTTAAATAAATGAGAAGGAAAATGAAGAACAAAAGACTGTGCTTTTGGGTACAAAGTTTCTATGAGTCAGAAGAAATACTGAAACATAAAATTTACAAGAGAAGCTGGCCATACATTGTTCTATGTGATCTAACATGAATTAGAGGGGGAGAAAAGGAGGAACAAACTCTTCTGACATTAATTTGGAAAAATTAATGTATGAGACTATGAAAAAAAATATTCATAGAGAAAAGCAAGGCAGCTAGCTTTATCAGATATCACAATGTATTACAAAAACAATAAATAATAGAATTCACTAAATAATGGCCATTATGAAACAAGGATGAAAAGAAGCACTATTCAGTAATTGTTATTGAGATAACTGGGTAGCAATATGGAGAATATTTAATTAATTCAAGCCAAATACCAATCTCCAACTTATCCCAACACAACTACACATGGATGCCATAATAAAGAATGAAAATAAAATACAAAATAAGTAAAAAAAACTTGCAAAAGACTATCAAATCTATGGAAGAAGGACAACTTTCAAAGTATTGAAGCAGTACACATGGAGAGTAAAACTGGTCAGATTTAATAATTAAAAAAATACATATGTATAATAAAAATTATTGTATTAGGAAAATATTTGCAAAGAGGAGTAATCTCTATATTTAGAAAGAGTTTGTAGTTTTATCCCAATAAATAGCCAAAGTTCGCACAATTTACACATTAAGCACAAATAGTAAAAAAGGCAATGGAGGACATTCAACTTCATTAATATCAAAGAAAGGGTGGGTTAAAACAAAAATGAGGTGCAGACACAGAACAAAACCTAATGAATAACCACTGGACCAGATACAGTTGAAAGGACAGGAATTAGGGATTCTAAAAATACTACAAGCATATCTCTTTCATCAAAAATTAGCTTGGTCCACTACTCTTTATGATGCTGAGAAATATGATCACTAGCCCATGGCCACTGTGTCTTCATTTCCTTAATACCACTTGACTCCTCAAGCAGTAACCTCTCTTTCTTTTCCTTTATATTGATCTTCCTTTTAGAAACCTAGAGATACTTTAATTAGGGATTCTGAACTGTGTGATATCTCTGAAAAATAGAAGATACTATGACTGCCATCCCAGTTTGCCTCCCATCTTTTTTCAAACACCAACAGTAGCAGGCTGAGTTGTGAGGTGGCACAGGTATAAAGTATAAAAAATATATTCTAATGGTGTTGAAGAGAACAATATGATGACTGGGAAAAACTGTTGTCAGTGAACAAATGTTTTTTAAAATGTCTGAAATTCAGAAAAGATAGAAATGAGTTTTGAAATGAGACAATGGGTAAAATCAGCCTAAAATATGTTACCGGAGAGTGAGGAATTATCTGTCTAGTGGAACCTCCAAGGGCCCCTTAAGTTTGAATTAGATGATGACCAAGTGTAGGAAAGGAAAATGAAGTTGAAACAAGAGAGACAATAAAGATCCTTTATGGGACAAAAAATCAGAAACAAACAAAAAATCCCTAATGAATAAGCAATAAATAAATAGAATGTTATGTTTTATTTGCGTATGCTATTTTGTTTTGCATTTATAAAAGTTATTTCAAGCCGCTCTAAATCTTCTATGTTAGATGTATGGGACAATGAAAATAATTTTTTAATTTAATTTACTAGGTATGACTAGATTACTATGAACCTTGTATCTGGAATTTTTCCCCACTTTGTGGTAATTTTTTTTCACTACTATAGAAATATCATTAACTTTTAAAAATATTTCTATGTATCTTTAATTATTTTCTCTGGAGACTTAAATATGTTGTTTATGTCTTTCATTATATGCTAAGTAACATGGTTAACTGTAGCCCCCCCCCAAAAAAAAACTAGCAGAAAATTGATATATTACTGAAATTGTAAATCAGCAAAAGTATTTTAAGGCCAACTTGGCAATACATATGACTAGCATACTTAAAAGTATTAATACTTAAAAAAACAAAACAAACAAAAAATTCCCAAACTTAGATACAGAGAACAGAGTGGTGGTTGCCAAAGGTAGAGGCTGGGAGGTGAAAGTAATGGTGAAAACAGTCAAAAGGTACAAACTTCCAGTTATAAAATAGATAAGTTATGGTGATTATAGCGAATAATATTATATTTATATATGAAAGTTGCTAAGAGAGTATATCTTAAAAGTTCTCATCAAAAGGAAAAAACTGTAACTCTGTGTGGTGACAAATGTTATCTAGACTTCTCGTAATTATTTTGCAATATTACAAATATTGAATCATTATGTTGTACACCCAAAATTAATATAATGTTAAATGTCAATTATACCTCAATGAAAATGAATACTTTTACTCCAAGATCCTTTTAATAAGATTTTAGACTAGAGAAATAATTGAAAGAAGAAAAAGCTTCATTTACAAAGAAAATAACAGGTAGAAACAAAAAACAGAACACAGAATTCCCACAGACTATTAGGTATACACAAAAACAAAGTCAAAAAGAAAAACAGAAAAAAACGTTTATTATATATTTGTGGTGGGAATTTTAAAAACTTTCCTTTAATACTATTTTTATTTTACCTATAAATACTTAATTTAAAAAAGGAACAAATGGCATTTATAGACATTTAGAAAAAACTACCAGGTGATAAACCCAAGTTTTGCTGGGAAATAACTTGTTGGGTAAAGGAAAAGAATATTCAGTGTTCAAAAACTGATACAAATTCCTGTGTAGTCATCTTTGTAGGTCTTCAAAAATAAGAATGAGTCTCAAGTTTCTGACATGCAACACTAGGGTGCAAATACTTGTTCCAGATTTTTTTTAGAAAAGAATCTATGAATGATTTTCAAAACACTCCTCCTTATTTACCAGTAACCATATCTTCTACACTTATGTATATACTTTGCATAATTCTAATGAATAACTATTTATAGCTTTCTTTAAATTACCTTAATTTTCATGTATGTTTGTTCTAGTTTTCATTTAAATGATAAATTTCAAGGTCATTAAGACTTCTACCCTCTTTGAATACTTGTCCACAAAGAATTTTCTCATTGCTGCCTAATTAAAACTTCTTTTAAATATAGGAGATATGAAGCATTTTCTATTTTAGAAGGAAGTATACATTTTCAAAATTAATATATAGAATTAATTTTAAACATTCAAAAACCCTCCTACTGTGCACTGGTATTTATAAAAAGAATAAGACATGGTTTCTGCTTTCAAGAAGTACAAAGGGCCCTGGCCGGTTTGGCTCAGTGGTTAGAGCCTGCGGTCTGGAGAGACCCGGGTTCGGTTCCCGCTAAGGGCACGTACTTCGGTTGCAGTTTGTCCCCGGCCCTGGTTGGTCGTGCGGGTGGCAGCCACTCGATGTGTCCCTTCACGTCGATGTTTCTCACTCTCTCTCCCTTCCTCTCTCTCCCTCCCACTCTATTTGTAAAAAAAAAAAAAAAAATGGAAGAAGTACAAAGGATCATAAAATATAAATACATTGATTTATATGAAATTGCTATTTTTATAGATGAAAAATGTCTAAATATTCACAATTCTTATGCTTCAATCTATAAAAACCATTTAGTAGAGCTTCTGAATAATATGCAGTACAATAAATATTTGTTAGCCATTAGCCATATGTGGCTAATGAGCACTTGACATGTATGACTGTGTATGACATGTAAGGCTAGTATGACTAAAAAACTGAATTTTTAATTTTGTTTTGTTAAATGTAAATAGATAATTGATCATCTATGGTTGTTGGAAAATTTATAAGTACATTTGTAACAATTTGGGTATTATGTGAATCTATTTTTCTTTTCTTTTTTTTTTTATCCTCACCCGAGGACATTTTTCCATTTGTTGTTCAGATAGAGTGGGAGGGAGAGAGAGGAAGAGAGAGAGAGAGAAACATCGACGTGAAGGGACACATCGAGTGGCTGCCACCCGCACGACCAACCAGGGTCGGGGACAAACTGCAACCAAGGTATGTGCCCTTAGCGGGAACCGAACCTGGGTCTCTGTGTACCGCAGGCCGACGCTCCAACCGCTGAGCCAAACCGGCCAGGGCGTGAATCTATTTTTCAAGTGAATATCTTATGAAGTGTAAATGTAGATCTCAAGTATTTCCAATGAAAACATAGTGTCTGAATTGACATGTTGTAAGTGTAAAGTACACACTAGATTTTGAAGACAGTATGAAAAAAACATTAAAATATTTCATAATGTCTATATTGATTACATGATAATATTTTAATGTCTGGGTTAAAATAAAAATGTTACTAAAATTAATATCCCATTTCTTTTCAAAATAATATATATATGGTTACTAGAAAATTACATATGTGGCTCACATTATATTAATCTTGGACAGGCTTACCATGAAAGGCTTGTGAAAATGCTATGGAGAATAGTGTAGAGAACAACTGACACTTTGGAGAGGACATGAACATTTAACTTCAGATGGATAAAATGGAGAAACAGAGGGAAAAAATAATATGTATGAAATCATTGTGTATGAAGGGAGTAGGAGAGAGTATGAAGTGGAGAGTGACATTTCAGAAAGAACTTTTTGTCTATAGTACGAAGGAGGAAGCAACAAAGTGAAGGTGCTGGAAACAAGGAGGGCACAAAGAATAATACTAAGGGCTGATGAAGGCCGAACGAACAACGGTGGGACTGAGGATGGAAAGATAAGAACACCACTGAGAAGTATGTAGCATGTCAACATAAACAGCATTTGTTTATGACAGAAGTACAAAATATATAAGAGAAGAAGATGGGAGAGAAAAAATCAAGGATAATCCCAAGGTGTCTGGCTTTGGAGATGAAGAAAAAGGAAAATTATGTGAGATAGGGATGCAAGAGGGAAATCTAGTAGTTAGAATGCCTCTGGGACCTCAAAAATTGAGCTGCCCAGAAGGCAGCTAGAAATACCAGTCTGTTGACAAGATGTGGAAATCAGTGATTACTATGGTAACAGCTGGAGACATAAAAATAGGAGACATTTCTAGGAGACTGTGTAGAGTGAGAAGCGTATAAAAGACACTGAAAAGATACAAATAAGTGGAAGCATATACTGTATTCATGGATAGAAAGAAGCAACATGATTAAAATGTCTATACTACCCAAAGCCATCTATAGATTCAGTGCAATTTCTATCAAGATAACAATGAAATATTTCACAGAACTAGAACAAATTTTCCAAATATTTATATAGAACTACAAAAGACCCAGGATAACCACAGAAACCTTGACAAAGAGGAATTATGCTACCTGATATCAAACTATACTACAAGGCCTTAGTAATAAAAACAGCATGGTACAGACCTATAGATCAATGAAAATATTTAATAGAGAGCCAAGAAATAATCCCATGCCATGGTCAATAAATATTTATTAAAGGAGGCAAGGATATACAATGGGGTAAAGATAGTCTATTCAATATTTGATGTTGGGTAAATTAGACAGATATGTGCAAAAAATGAAAGTAGATCACTTTCTGTCCAATTTTCCCAACACCATATAGTCTATTTAATATTGAATAGAATAAACTTAAAATAGACTAACGACTTAAATGTTAGACTACAAACCATACAAATCCTAGAAGAAAACATAGGCAGTGAAACTTTGGACATTTCTCATAGCAATATTTTTTTCTGATATATTGCCTTGAGCAAGAAAATAAAAGAAAAAATAAACAGATGGGACTACATCAAATTAAAAATGATTTTGCATAGCAAAGAAAATCATCAACAATATGGAAAGACAACCCATTGAATGGAAGAACATATTTGTCAATGATATAACTCATAAGGGCTTAATATCCAAAATTTATAAAGAACTTATAAAACTCAACACCAAAAAAGCAAACAAACAAAAAACCCCCCAAACAATCCAATTAAAAAATGGGCAAAGGACCTGAATCAATACTTTTCCAAAGAGGACATACAGATGGCCAACAGACATAATGAAGAGATGCTCAATGTCATTAATCATCAGTTGAATGCAAATTAAAACCACAATGAGATATCACCTCACACCTGCCAGAATGGCTATCATGAATAAATCAACAAACAGGTATGGTTAAGGATGTGGAAAAAGGGAATCCCCTTGTACTATTGGTGGGAATACTGCTTGGTGCAGCCACTGTAGAAAGCAGCATGGAATTACCCCATAAAATTAAAAATGGAATGGCCTTATGTCCTAGCACTTCCATTTCTGGGAATATATTTAAAGAAACCTGAAACACTAACTTGAAAGAATATATGCACCCCTATGTTTATAGCAGTACTATTTACAATAGCTAAGATCTGGAAACAACCCAAGTGTCCATCAGTAGATGAGTGGATAAAAAAGCTGTGGTACATGCACACAATGGAATACTATGCAGCTGTAAGAAAGAAAGATTTCTTATCCTTTGAGATGACATGGATGGACCTCGAGAGTATCATGCTAAGCAAAACAAGCCTAGTAGAGAAAGACAAATATCACATAATCTCACTTATTTGTGAAATATAATGAACTAAACAAACTGATGAGCAAAATTGACCCAGAAACATAGAGGTAGGGTACAGACTGACAAACCTCAGAAAAGGGAGTGGTGGGGGCGGGGGAAGAGATAAACCATAGAACTTATATGTATGTATATGTATAACCAATGGACATTGACAACAAAACTGGGGCTGGGGCTGGGGTGGGATGGGGAGAAGGGTATCAATGGGGGAAAAAGGGAAAACATCTGTAACAAAAACAAATTAATAAAAATAATTTAAAAAATCAATGATACATTTACACAGTGGAATACTACTTGGCTGAAAAAAAAGAAGGAAATCTTACCCTTTGGAACAGCATGGGTGGACCTGGAGAGTATTATGCTAAGTGAAATAAGCCAGTCAGAGAAAGACAAGTACCATATGATTTCACTTATATGTGGAATCTAATGAACAAAATAAACAAACAAAATAGGAAAGACTCATAGATACAGAGAACATACTAACAGCTGTCAGAGGGGAGAGGAATTGGGGCACTGGGTGAAAACGGTGAAGGGATTAAGCAAACCCCTCCCCCCCAAACCCCTCATAGACACGGACAACAGTATGGTGATTACCAGAGAGAAGAGGAGGAGGGCTGGGAGGGAGAGCTAAAAGAGAGTAAAGTGGGATAACTTGTGATGGAAGGAGACTTGACTTGGGGTGGTGAACACACAATACAATATACAGATAATATATTATTGAATTGTACACCTGAAACCAAATAGTTTTATTAACTAATGTCGCTCCAATTAGTTAAAAAAAAATTAAAATAGAAATGAAGCCCTGGCTGGTTTGGCTCAATGGTTGGAGCATTGGCCTGTGCACTGAAGGGTTGCAGGTTCGATCCCTGGTCCCAATCAGGGTCATGGGGGAGGCAACCAATTGATGTCTCTCTCTCTCACATCAATGTTTCTCCCTCTCTCTTCCCCTCCCACTCTCCTTCTTCTGTGTCTAAAAATTAATGGAAAAATATCCTTGGGTGAGGATTAACCAAAAAAAGAAAAAATTAAAATTAAAATTCAAAAAAGAAGGCCATGTGAAACACTAATATTAATATATTATCCAGTACAACTTTTAAATAGCTACAGTTATTGTACTTATATAATAATTAGGAGGGCCCTGGCCAGTTTGGCTCAGCAGTTAGAGTGTTGGCCTGTGGACCAAAGGGTCGTGGGTTTGATTCCCTGTCAAAGACATGTACCTGGGTCGCAGGTTTGATCCCCAGTCCCAGTCAGGGTTGTGTGGGAGGCAACCAATCGACGTATCTCTCTCACATCCATGTTTCTTTCTCTCTCTCCCCTCCATCCATTCCACTCTCTCTAAAACTCAATGGAAAAAATATCTTTGGGCAAGGATTAACAACAACAACAACAAATAGTTGGGAGGAAATGAACTTGTCTGAATAGAACCTATATTCTTTGAATTAAAAAAATTGAAAACTGTCACTTTAATGCTTTATATGTATTTATTAATACATTATAAAATGCTATTACAGTTCTTAGAAGGGTCTAGTATAGGTCAAATAACTCATTGACTGCAGGGAACACTGCAGTATCTTTATTATAAAATGTACAAATTTAAATGACCTGTACTAAAATTATTTTTATTTTTGAGGGCTGTAGAATTTAAAGTTACAATACTGTTTGCCTGATTCTAAACTCAATTTAAGTACTGGCATAAAAACTATTTTACTTTAAAAATATGTATATATTTTGCATAAAACTTCAGTCAGTAAATATTTTTGAATGAAATTATATGTCATGTCAACTCTGTTTCTGAGATCTAAAAATTATGTTATTTTTCTCATAATTAAAAGAATTTAGATACAGCAACTACTGTGAATCTTTGCTTAGAACAGCTAAGAAATTTTTTCTACTGAATACCTGGCCATTGTTTCACCTCTTTATTTTTTTTTTTATTAAATGTCTTTGAATTTGAAAATGGCATATAAAGTTACTCTTTTTTTTTTTTTTTTAAAGAGGAAGAAAAATGTTCTAATTGATGTCTAGTAAATCGTCGGGAGTGCCCCTCGATGAATGTGGTACTGGAGTTTTTATGGCCAGCCACTTTGACAGACATTATTGTGGCAAATGTCGTCTGACATTGCTAGTTTTCCTACTGTCTAGAAAAATAACTGTCTAAATTGAGAATATGTCTAAATACAAATTATTAAATTTGTTAACTTCAAAATAGTTTTTTAAAAAGCACAATACGACTTAACAACTTACATTCATGATTCCTTGGAAGCTTGAATTTTTTCAACAAGACCCTAATATTCACAAGTAGAAAAATAAAATAACAAAATAAAACAATTATTTCTAATATAACCTCAAAAGATATTTCATTTACATTTTAGAATAGAAATGGCATTATAGAATTTATACTACTGAATGTATAGTGATAAACATAAAATTCTCATCAGTTTTCTGTTATAATAGTAGTTAAATTTATGTTTTAAAATAAGCACATGTGAAAAAAAGTATGATAAATGGAGACAAAAGACATTTACTATAAAGAAATTTGCCAGAGTCCATGTATTTCTTCATGATGTAAAGTCTTTCACAGAAAGAGGTTAGTGAGAAAATTTAGGTATTCATAGTACTTTATTTAACTTTCCCAGAAGTTTCCTACTTTTACAATGGAGTAATTTTCTGGACAGAGTACCAAATAACTGTTTTCCTACATATACCATTATGATGTATAACAGAAAAAAATATTTTCAAAATCACTAATTAAAATGGAATATGGCTATTTTTTAAAAGTAGGAAATATATATTAAATTCTTACTGAACACATTAAATATATTTTAGTGTGGATTACTTGGATTATATTTCCACCCAGTTTATAGTTAATATACAGTAAAAAATAAGTTACATCACATAAATAACAGAACAGAATGCCCTTGTCCTGAGGAAATGGGCATACAATAAAAATGGAAAAAAAAACACAATGATTTTAAGTATAATAAAACCAAATAGCAAGTTTTGAAAGAGCCATATATTTTTATGCTAACTAGTGCAAATAACTTGTAAAAATTGATCAATACAAAAAAAATTGGTAAATAAAAGCATTAGAAATAGCTGATATTATACTGTTTTTTAACCTGTAAACAAAAGCATTTGAAGCATTTGAAGTATGAGATACACATTATTTTCTTAATTTCTTGTTGATTTTTTTCTCTCAATCACAAATTTTCTAGAATAATATAATTAATGATTTGTTGGTATAAGTATAGTAGGTAAACAAAATGAACTGAGTTAAACTAAATGCAAAAAACAAAAAATTTTTTTCATTTCTGGGATTCCCTTACAAATAAATTCTGACACTAGAGAGAAAATTTCAGATTTGATAGAAGGAATCTGCCGATAAGTCCTACTTTTATCTTGAAAGGCTTATAGTCAAATACTTATTGAAAAGGAAAACAATAAATTAAAAAGAAATATAACAAACAACATAGTTATCAATGATGTGAATCAGGGAGTTTTTTCCTGTCTTATGAATTAGATTTCACATATTATATAATGAGAATATAAAATTTGATTTTTTTCTTATTAAAAACATAAACATTCAAAACATGTAGAGGTGATAGTATTTTTCAACTTAAATCTTTATTTTCAGAATGAAATAAAATACCCTAAAGTATATAGATAAGCTACGACCATTTTACCTCTATATTTTCCCAACACCAAATTTCTTTCATCTTGCAGTACTCAAACCATGAAAAAGTCAAAACATGTAATATACCAAGATGTTCCTTTGTGGAAGATCTTCATTATTACAAAGTTACTTACCAGCATATATGCTTACAAAGTTCCCCTTCTATCTGAAATGTGGGACAGTTACAAACATGAGGATTTCCTAGAAAAACCTTTAAAATAAAAATGCACACTTAAAGAAAAACAAACTCCAGTTAATTTTTAGAGTTAGAGTAAAACTAAATTAATAGGTAATTAGATTAAGAGAGATTTCAAAAGGTAATTTCATTTAGGTGACTCTGAAAGGTTGAATATCATCTACAAGGACATCTTAATTCTTGCCTCCAGTCTGACTTTTTTCACTTTCATATTCTTTGGCTTGGTCAACAACTTGCAATTAAGACTTTATTTTTTAATAAAATTTTTTTCTTTTTTTGTTAATCCTCACTCTAGGATATTTTCTCCAGTGATTTTGAGAGGGGTTAGGGAAAGGCAGAGGGGGAGAAAGAGAAACAAGGATTAGTTGCCTTCCGAATGCTCCTGGAGTGGGATCAAACCAGCAACCCAAGTATGTGCCCTTGAACGGGAATTCAACTAGGGACCTTTCCATGTGCTGGGAGGGGGTTGGGGGTGTGGGTGTGGGGCATGCTCTAACCATTGTAGCCACTGAGCCACACCGGCCAAGGCAAGACTGTTTTAAAATGACCTACACTTAGGCAAGTGGAATGAAATCTAAGTTCAAAAGCTTACATATAGATTTTTACTAAAAGGAAATTCTATCTTGCAGGAAACGAAAGACCTTTTTTAGATTTTGGATTTATTTTTTTGCTTGGTGCACTTTAAGTGATGAGTTTATTTAATTTTATTCAAGGAGACTAATTTTATTCATCAAGTCTATATTGGCTAAACATATTAAATGCAGTGTTGTAAGCAACAAAGTGATAAAAAGATATATTAAATAAGTACAGGTTAGTAGTCTGTATTCAGAACTTAAAATGCGTAATGACGCTGAATTAAAAATTTCCAAGTCAACTACTGGGAGACAGTGTGGTGGCTGATTTTTGAGAGGTGAGAGAATAGGATATGTGAATATTTGAAATATCTGAGGTCTTTCAGCAAAATTAAAAAGCATTTTTACTCATTAAGATATTTCCAAGGCACCATCATTTAAATACCCTTTTTTTAAAAAAAGGGTCTTATAGCTTCAGAGTGACTAAAGAGGAAAAATCCCCAATGTTTAATATTTAGCAAACATATACCATAGGTAAACAGACTGTGGAATCCTCATTTCGTTTCAGTCGCAGGGCTAGGGACTGCTAACAACGGATCCCAGAACCTGGGTAACGCAAGCCCCATAGTCAAATGAACCGTCTCACTTTTTCAAGCCCAGAGATCAAAGGGCCATCATTTTACGAGAGCTGGATGCAATTTGGAGCCCTAACCTCCACTAATGAACCTTCCCCACTAAAGCATGTGCCTCTGCGACTTGCACGTCTTGGAGTGCGGGACCCTGGCGTGGGCGGCAGCGAGCAGCCGCGGGGACTGCGGGGGGCCAGGTTCAGGGTGGGGCCGGGGCCGGGGCCGTCCGCTGGGCGGAGCGCGGGCGAGCCGGGGGCGGTAGTTACTCGGAAATCCCGGTTCTCCGGCTCCTCCTCCCTCAGCAGGAAGCCGATGGGGCCCGTCTCTCGGACGAGGTAGATGCTGCTGCTCAGCGCCTGTTCTTGTCGCCAGCTGAGGCGGTGGCTCAGGTGTCTTCGCCCTTTACAGGCCTTAGAGCCCCGGCGAAGCATCTCCCGGGGTGCGGGCGTTGGTGGCCCGCGCGAGGCCCCCGTAGCCGCCATCCGCTCCCCTTGACAACCGCGTGCCCGACGGTTGCCTGGGTGACGGCGGTGGAGACCCACGCCGTCCAGCGCGCCTGGTGCCGAGCTGCGGCCGGCGACGCCGGCGGGTGGGTGCGGTCCGCGGCTGGCACCGCCTCCACGCCTGGCTGAAGCGACGCTCCTGACTGCGGCGTGTTTCTGAGGACCCGCTTTCCAAGCCGGCGGCCGAAGGCACACTGTCAAATCTCTCGTGTTCTTTCTGCCGCTTCCTCGCAGGCAGGGCTCTTGAATTGTGTTAGGACAGCCGCACAACCCGGGTACAGTTGGGGCTCTGGCTGCCCAAGCTGGCCTGTTTGTTCATGATCTTTATCAGAAAGCCCAGACCCATTGTTGACGTTCAGCAGTATTCCACAGACTCGTCCCAGCTGCTCACCACGTGCACGATCTGAGCGGGTCCCTGGGGAAGATCAAGGAGGAAGACAGGAATCTAACCTAGGAAGCAAGATCCTTAAATCGGGGTGTGTGTGTGTTTGGGGGGGATTCTCTAAATTGCATGTTTGGGTGAGGATGGGTTTGGGGGGAAAGTGCGGAATCTTGACTGTATGCCTTGTAAATTTACAAATCCCTACTTAGGGAATAAGACAGCCAAGGCATGCATTGTTTTCCCAGCACTTCAGTGGGCCTATGCGCTTTGTCACTAGTTCTAGGGGGAGAGCTGTAATAAAGAATGAGTCAAGTAAAGAAACCACGTTACTGGAACCCATCTAAGAAATTGAAATCAGAAAATAGCCACTTGGTAACATAAAGATGGAGGATATTTGTCCCATTTTATCATGGGAGGAAGCCACAACTAGATTATGTCAACAGCAGGAGAGGAGAAAATGGCCAAAAGCCATGAAATGAAAGAAGGCGATGGAAATGGCAGTTTTCACATGAGATACCCAAATAAACTCTCTCCAATCCTCGGTCTAAGGTTTTAACTTACTACATTTTATTTCTACTATCCTATTCTGACTAATAACAACTAACATATGTACTCCCATACTCCCAATGTTGCCATCAATTTAATGGTGCTAGATGTTAAAGTAAATCGTTATACATTAGGAAAATAAAATATTGAAACCAAAAGAAATTGTAAATGGAATTTAGTTTATTAATAATTATAATTTTAAAAATTCAAAATAAATTAGTGACAATCTACATTTTTCTATATAACAAGATGAGTAAGGTTTCGGAGTGAAGGCACTTTGTTCAACCACCATTTATTCTCTCTCTCTCCATATATGTGTGTATGTGTGTGTGTACAATATAAATCTCATATGTATTTCCATATATATTTTTATCTCCATATATATTATATATACTATATAGTTATTTAAGAATGACATTGAAGACAGCTTTAAAAACAAAACAATAGTAAATAATTGGTAAAACTGTTATGTTTTTTAATATAATCAGATAATGATACTCCATGTGCAAGTGATTTTCAGAAAGGTTGTACAGGTTTAAGACAATAGAGTCATTATGTAACTGAATATAGGTTAATAAATTCCAGTTTGGAGGATGATAAAAGTAGCATTATTCATGCTTTCACAAAAATTAAAAAGAGAAAGCGCAGATTGCTAGACAGAAATTCAGTCTAGCTGTAAGACATTTGTTTTTTTATCTGTCAGTTAAGACTTTAAAAACATTTTAAAAGCCAGGTGACTATCCCATATGTTTACTTCATTTCTTAAGCATGTGTGACAGGGGTAATATTTTGAAAATATTAAATTAGGGAATTAAATTCTTTAAATTCACAGTGTTCCCCTTTAACTTACATTTTGAAGCATATTGTCCCAGGGAAGAGGAAAGTGGTTAGTGCTAGAAGCAAGTCATTGATAAACTTTGAATTTCACAAATTATGTTTTAGCCCCCTTAGCAATACAGTTTGCTCATGGAAGACAAGAATTAAGAAATTACTACTGCTCTAGATTAAGATATAAAAAACTGGGTCTAGAATATTAGACTTTGGAATTGCGTGGAAGAGAACGCTCTCAGGAGGTGGAAAGAAGAGTAATGGAAGTCAGTGGAAGAAGTCAGCTGTCAATCTCAACATGGGTGTGTGTGTGTGTGTGTGTGTGTGTGTGTGTGTGTGTGTGTTGGGGTGTTGGTGGGAGTATGTGGAGGATGGATTGAAACACTGAAATGGGTTTGGGAAGTCTAAGAACACCTGGAGTGTGTGGGGAAGCGTATGCTTACTTTTGGAATAGTGTTAGGGAAGTGCAGGCTACTAGGAAACTTCAGCTTTTGGCTTAGTGCCATGTCTAACGTGGGAAGCAATACGCAGAGGTGCCAATGGAAGATAGGTAAATGACTGGATGTAGTGCTCTTCTTAAGGATTAAAGACATCCACATGAATATAGGAATTTGTGTTTACTTCTAGACTCTAGGGAATGGGCACAAAAGAAAGGCGCGGTACTAGTGTCTGACAAAGAGGATGCCGAACTTGAACTCAGTGATCTCAAGACTGGAAGCAAATAGAACCAGGTTCTTATTGGTGACCAAGGAAGTCTTAACATTTTTCTCAGCTTGACTACACTTTGGACAGGTTTTTTCCTGATTTTATGTGTTTCACCTTCCTTTTGGGGGGGGGGGGGGATTTACGTTAGAAAATTTTCAATGTGAATTCTTTCTCTGCCCCTCTGAAATGGAAATCTTCTCCCCGTCTCTTACCAGTTTTACAGCCTAGTAATGTCTTTTTCAAGAACCTGGGAGCTATCCTCTCACTGAATGGGGACGGGGACCCAGGCGGGTCTGATCCAGTACTGTCTGGAATTTGTGGATTCTTGACTTTGTGTAAGAAAGATTTCACGACATGAGTCTAGGTGATTTTGAGAGTACGTTTATTAAAGCTGGGAAGAGTGAAACAAAGGAGAGGCTTCAGATAGAAGAGCAAGCTCACAGCAACAGGAGTGAGCCTAGACTGGGCTGCCTAGACTCAGGAAAGGAAGTTAGAGGCGAAAGGAGAGTCCATAGAGACAGACTTAGGGGGTTAGCCTGGGACAAGCTGCCACTGCCCATTGCTTCCCTGGTTGCAAGTCTCTTGGGGACCCTTAGAGTTTAGGACAAAGAGAGCAAAAATGTGTGCCTGAGTAAAGGTGGGGCATGGGTGTACTCTAGGGTTCTTACCTGTTTCCTAAAGGCAAAAGTTTAATGGAGGTCTCAGGGGAGGTTCTTAATAGAATATTCAACAGCTTTCTAGATGTATTCTTTTAATATGGTGATGCATCAAAAATAAGCATATAGCCCTGGCTGGTTTTGTTCAGTGGTTAGAGCATAGGCCTGTGGACGGGAGAGTCCCAGGTTTGGTTCCTGCTAAAGGCATGTACCTCGGTTGCAGTTTGTTCCTGGCCCCGGATGGGGTCGTGTGGGTGGCAGCCGCTCTGTGTGTCTCTCTCACATCGATGTTTCTCTCTCTCTCTTCCTCCCTCTCTCCTCCCTCTCTTTCTGAAGATAAATGCAAAAATAATAATAATAATAAAAAAAAATGTCCTCAGGTGAGGATAAAAATAAAAATTAAAGAAAAAGAGCATATATGAGAATTTGGGATCATTCTCTGGTCAGCTTCACTGCTTTACACTTAGTTGAGGTTTGTCTGGGTCTAATTAGGTTTTTGTTATTTATTCCCGACTTCATCCATCTAGGGTTTGGCTGGTACTAATGGCACTAACTGAGTCTCTATTATTTTTCTCTTTGACTACGTTGGAGGAGGAGAGGTATAAACCATCAGCTCCTAAGTGTCCTTGGTTAGGAAAAATAAGATCTTATGATTTATTAGCAGGCTGTCAATTGCTCAGCCTTGTTTAATGATCTTGTCTCAGTTTTCCTCATTTTACTTGCCAAGGCGTTCTCTTAGTTTCTTACTCTCCTGCTTCAATCCCTTTGAAATGGAATAATCAAATAAAGATATTGTCCCTGTCTCCCGGTCTTGGTGGCAGCGGGAGCCGAACTGTGTGGAGTCTAACTTCCACAGCCACCAATCAGCAAACACAGACGGCCGACTCCCATTGTCCTCCAGTGCTTTTCCACTCCCCTCTGCTTGCTGCAAAACTCCCACCTTTGAAAAAATCTAGTTGAGGTCAATCTCTCTTCCCTACTGCAGTCATCTTCAATAAAGGTTTTTTTTTGGCCAGTTTAACCCTGACCAGTGAAATTTTTCTTTGGCCATAAATACCATTTATTTAAAGAGACTTTAATTATTAAATCAGATTAAACTTACAATTTACCAAGTTTTTTTTCTCTTTCTTATGATCAAGGGGAGTTGGCTAGCAAAGATGATTGGATCAAACATATTTCAATATTATGCACATCAAAGTGTAACATAAACAGATTTGCATCTCACTACGAATGTGATTAGAACTTATAGTTTAAGATGCCAGACTGAATAGATAATGTTGGTTCCTCCTTCATCTAAAAAGCCTATGAAAATAATAAAAAAATTTAAAAATTGGAATCTGTGACATTGAAGAGAACTAGATGGAGGGACCACATGACAAGGAATACTTGGGGCCTCGGGAAGAAGACAGCAGCTTGTGGTTAATGGCCAGAAGGAATTTGGAACCTTAGAGCTATAGCAACAGGAACTGGATTTTGCCAGCAACCCGAATAAAGGTGAAATTAGATTCTTCCCTAGAGCACCAGATAAGAGTGCAACCTGGTTAATACCTTGATTTTTAGCTTTATTTTCTGAGCAGAGAACCCAATCAAGCCTGCCTCCACTTTTGACCCACAGACCTGTGAACTAATAGAAGGGTTTAAGCCTTTAAGTTTGTGGAAATTTTTGTCACAGTAGTAGAAAATAAATATGGGGGCCATTGGCAAATGAATATGGGGCCATGGACAAATTTCAACAAACTACTAGTAGAACAAATATAGATGGAAAGTTCTGACAGATGAAAGGGGGAATAAGTCAAGGTATGAATATGGAA